GTTTATACTTAGCGTGTAATGATTTTCACGCGTAGGTAGAAAGCCAATAATGGATTAAAGAGTTCAAAGTGACATCAAGCATCGAGAGGTATATTTCAATATCAGTAAGACATCCTACGATAGAATTTGATTTTAGATAGTGGCATGTAATTTGAAAATGTTCAATTTATTTGTTGAATAAATTTTGGAAATTTTTATAATGATGAAAGGTTAATTTTTATGAATTTATATGTATTTTCGGAAGTTACTGTAGCAATTACTGTAGTATGAACAGTTACCATGTTTTTAAGTAAAATTTCCATAATGATTTTGGGGTACCGATTCCCCCCAACAGGGAACTGATTCCCCTACTGTTCACTTTACACTGTTCACGGGTACTATTCATAAAAAATCTTTTGAATTAAATTTTTTCATAATAAAATATAAATTATATGATATGATATTTTTATAATATCAATTACCATTTTAAGAAAATAAATTTTAAATCGCTTTTAAATTAGAAAATGGTTTTAAGAAATTCGGGTGACATCTATAATCTGTATATGTATAATTATACGGGTTATGGGTGTTACATATACACCCTATGTTTATGTATCAATTGGTCTAAAAAAACTCCAACAATGCCTATTTAGAAGTATATATCATTGTTAAAGATAATATTAAAGTATAATTATTCTAAGTTCTAATGATTAAACCTAAAAAATAAAAATAATTTTTAATTGATAAATAATAGGGTAAATTACATAAATCCTCATTTTTATTTGAGTTTTTATAATTTTTTTCTCATTGAATTCAAAAAACATAATATTTTGTCACTTTCGTTTTGTTTTAATTAAGATGTGATCATTGGAGGTTAACGACCTTTAAACCTTTAATGGTTTACTGATGTGGCACGATTAATATATAAAATTAAAATTATATCATTTTCACTTAGATAATATATAGATTAAGTTTTGGTCAATTTCCTTTCATATTTATACACTTTTTCTCACTAAATTTAAAAAACATAAGTTTGGTAACTTACGTTATCATTTTATTAAGTTTTGCTCACTTGGATGTTGAGTGTCGTTAATTTGATGACATGGCCCATCAGTAAAATGGTTTAATTTTTATTTTAACTCCTCCACTTTTGACAAAATATTGATTATGGGACTTTTTGTAAATTCAAATTAGTTTAGGGACATCATTTCAATTTATCCATATTTAATAGGTTTTCTTCTCAACCCATTGTTGTTCATCTCCTCCCTGCTTCTTCAGAAATCTTTGTTCGATTGCTCCATTTGCCTTCTTTCAAAGTCTCATGTTGTATTTCAATAATAATGTAGGATTTCCAATTTATGATAACAAATAATAACACCACAAGTTCATAGAAAAATGAAAGGTTGACATCTAGAGATAAAATGAAGCCGGGTAATCTTAGTTATACAAACTAAAATTCAATTTTCAAAGATTGAGATTGCAGAATGCCAAGTCCAACAAGGAACACGAAGAAAAATCAATGGATCCAAATAACTCGATAATCGAATATCACTCTTTGTGGTGATTTTCCTTTGAGAAAGTGTCTCCTGTGAAACATAATCAATGAATCCTAATAACCTGATAACTAGATATGTGAATTCATCCATTGCGACATGTGTAATCTATCATACCACCACCACCACATTGGCCTCCGAGTACCTCATTTCTACGATAACTCATTCGAACAACTCACCGTCGGAGCATAGCTCCAACACCAAGTGAACGTCGGTTTGATCTTCGTAAACGTCATAGAGGTCGATCACGTTCGGATACAACGAAATGTTCTGGACGATCTTTCATATCATTGGATTTCGTTAATCAACAACGCGTCGGAGATGGAAACTTGGTTTGTGTCATCACTAACACTATCATTGAATAAGCTCTAGTTTTCTCGGCTCGAGGTGTTGACATCTTATGGTGGTGAATCTTTTCAGATTTTTAATGGTGAATTCTCTGCATTTTTCACAATCTTCATTACTTCTTTTTATACCTTTTCTTACAATTGAGAACCCACTTAATTTGACTTCAAATAATTACAACTAATAATTAGAAACAAGAAGACTATTGCAATGATGCAGAGATGTATGAAGAAGAAACGATGAGAAAATGATCAATATTGGGGGTTGGGGAGAAAAAATATTAAAAAAAATGTGTAAATTGAAATATTATCCCTAAACTAAATTGAATTTATAAAAAGACTCATAAGTAGTATTTTGTCTAAAGTTGAGGGTTTAAAATTAAAAATTAAATCATTTTACTAATGTGTCACATCATTAAATTAATGTCATTCAACTTCCAAGTGATCAAAATTTAGTAAAACGATAACGTAAGTGACCAAAACTTAATAAAACGATAACGTAAGTGACTAAAACTTATGTTTTTTTAATTTATTGAGCAAAAGTGTATAAATATGAAAGGAAAGTGACCAAAACTTAATCTACGTATTATCTAAGTGGAAATGATGTAATTTTAATTTTATATATTTACCGTGCCACGTCAGCAAACCGTTAAATGTTTAACGACGGTTAACCTTCAGTGACCACATCTTAATTAAAACGAAACAAAAGTGACCAACTATTATGTTTTTTGAATTTAGTGAGTAAAAGTTTATAAAACTCAATAGAAAGTGACTAATTCTGTAATTTACCCTGGATAATAATTTAAACTAAACCATAGTAGAGAAAACTTTATCAGGCTGGCCCTTTCACGGAACTTTAATATATTCTTATGCATTGGCAATAAAATAAATAAAACAATGAAGCCATAAATTACTTATCCAAAATTTATAATAATAAAGCAATGACGATAGCAGTGACGATCTGTGGAAATTAAATTGATGGCAGCAGGCATTAGTTAATAATTGTCAAAATATAAACCAAACTTAAGTTTTTATTTATAAGAAATGATTTGATGCGTAAGTTCTTTAGCTTTCTGACTTATTAGGCTGCAAATAAAAAAACAGTGAACTAAACATGTTTTACTTTTTAAAGGTTAAAATCACCTAATCACGTTTCTTTGGTTGGGTTGGTAACGTCTGCTTTACTCTCTCCACTGCTCTTCTACATCCGACATATACATGAGGTCAGATTCTATAACTAATATACATACTATGTACAAATTATAGGGTTAGTCTTTAAAATTTAAGTTTGAGAGTCACCTTTATTATTGTAGTAGACTCAGTTTATCATTTTTTTTATCTCTTATCGTATTTTCGTATTAATTTATCCTCAAAATTGTTTAATTACATCATTATGTATCTCACCCTTTACTTAAACCCAAAATTAGGGTTTAAAATTTATGGTTTAGAGGTTATATGGTTATGGTTTGGGGTTTAGAGCTTATAATTTAGGATTTTAAGTTAGGGGTAAGTCTAAAATTAGGGATGGGCATGATACCCGAACCCGACGGATTCTGACTCGATCCGATCCTATTGTGTCGGGTTTTTTAAAAATAATTGGGTTAGGGTCGGGTCGGGCGGGTTTAGGGTAAAAATGTCCGACCTGAGCCGAGCCAAAAAATATAATTTATTTACCTTATATATTCAGGGATAATTACAATAATACCTATTTATATATTATTTTTTTCAATAAAATCCTTATTTTTATTGAATAAAAATATTTTTTTATTACTTCGGGTAGGTTTGGGTTCAGATTTTAGCTCAAAAAGTTGGGTCGGGTTCAGGTCGAGTGGAGTATGTATATTTTTCGGGTCGGGTAGAGGGTGTAAAATTTTTGGGTCGGGTCAGGTTGGCCAAAACCCGACTCAAACTCGACCCGTGCTAATACCTATATAGAATGATGTAATTGAGTATCTTCGAGGGTTAAATTGATACGAGAATATGATAAACCGAAAATGATAAATTATGTCTACTACAAGGGCAAAAGTTACCCTTTTGCTTTAAATTTAATAGTCCATTGTAATATTTTAATTTTAATAAGAATAATATAATTAAATTTTAAAGATTGAAAACAACTAAATAAAATAACAGTAATTAAAACCATAACTTGTTAATGTACAAAGACTTAAGTGGTGGTTTAGGGCTGTTTAGATGAACAAAAGTGAGATAATTAAGCTGGTGATTTATAGCTTACCTCTATCGGTTTGGATAAAAAGTCACGTGTTATCTTGTACAAGTATGAGATTTGATATGTTCCCTCTTTGTTCACCTAGGGTGTTTTACTCTATGACTTGAGTATTTGATAATTATGTGATAGTCTAATGATTAGGTTGGATATAAAATTATATAGGTTAAACTTAAATCATTACTTATCTAATATATTTATTCTAGGACTCGATATGTAAATTTATTAGACCATTCAAATGATTTATTATTGGATTTCATGGATGATTTTAAGATAAAGTTCTTTCAGAACGATAAAATATAACGGAGGATATAACAATATCTAATCTTTTAATTAAGCGAGCATTATACAATAATGTAAAAGTTTTATTTATGAGGTTTCTTTTTTTTCTAGGAATAGGAGTAAATTCTTTGCGTTATAGTTTTTTTTTTTATTATTCTTAATAGTTTATGAGACATATTTAAGTGATATATTATTGGCCGTAAACTCAACGAATTTTCATATATACACTGGGGTCTGCTTGCTTAAACAAAGGATGATTATGATTACTTAGTCAAATCTGTCACTGTAATCTGTTATGCTGTCAATTCATATAATTTCTTTATTACATCCCATTTTGCTTCTGCTGAGCTTTGCTTTTACTAATCAGATTGACCCTCTTACGGAGGTCACGACCAAACATACGTAAGAGACCACTCTTACGTATAGCCAAATAATGAATACGAATTTATGCACTACACTTGCCATGAAAGGAGCGTATGCGAATACAAACTGACAACATAAAGAAATTTATACGGTTTCACCAAATCACAGAGAAATCTAACTTAAAAAACATCACTTTCAGTGTCAAAGCCTAAACACAAACCTTCATCAATCTGAATTGTTTTCTTTTTCCTGAGAAATTTCGAAAGAAAAACTATATGTTTCATATGCCTATTTGGCTGATTTCTCAGGGAGGAAATGAATTTTCTTCTTGCAGAGGAATAAAGTTATCATCCCATGACAGAAGTGAATCCACACAATCAACCCATTGCTTTAAAGAGTTTTCTTCTTGAGCCATTAAAGGATTGTTGGATTCCTCCATAGAAAACGATGATGTGTATGAATAATCCAAATCGAAGCTTCCACATAACATTTCGTAGTCCTTCAACAAATCATTTGTTTCATTCAAAGTCACACGGATTTCTTCAACCTCCTTGCATGGAACATCCTCTGACTTTGTCTCTGACCTTTCTTCTTGTTTCTTATTACCATCGGTTTTCTCGACAGGCTTGTGCGTCACGGGGTCTAAACCAAGCTGCTTCAGCTTCTTCTTGATTTTAGTATTCCAATGATTCTTGATTTCATTGTCCGTTCGACCCGGAAAATGCGAAGCAATCTTAGACCACCTGATTTTTTTAATTATCTTAAATGATTACGAGATACTATATGTTAGAATCTTATATGTTCATGAAGAGGATGATATTTTTACCTGTTACCGAGACGTGAATGAAGTAGAATAATCTCATCTTCTTCGGATTCTGTAAAAGACCCTCTCTTAAGATCCGGTCTTAGATAATTTATCCATCTTAATCTGCAACTTTTCCCACATCTTAAAAGGCCTGCATGATCAGACCATACAAATCAGACAACAGACATAACCAGGAGCACTTGATATGCAAGAAGAAAAAAATTACCGGCAAGCTTGGGAACATTTCTCCAGCAAGGAAAAGTACCATTGTTGAAGATAAAATTCATCAGCTTACAATCTTCCTCGATCGTCCATGGACCTCGTTTTAATCCAACTTTATCACAACAAGGTTTCCGTCCCATTTCAAAGGAAAAGAAAAACTAAAAAGGGTCTTTAGATACTAAGCCAAATGATGATGTTCAAGAAAAAAGAGAGACGAATATAGATGATGTTTGAAAGCATGAACGATCCTCCATATACATATATATGACGTAAACGTGGGTCGTTTTTGTTGGCAAATTTTTTTGGTGCAAGTAGCCAATTTCTCATTGGTTTTCAATATAATTTATATTAAAACCAAAGAAAGTTTTAAAACAGTTTCTGGGATTTTGCTTTCTGCCCAGCTGTTGATGCTGGAGAGATTCCTTCACCAGATATCCAAAGTGCTCCCAAATTCCAACTATGGTCTAGGATTTCGATGGCTGTGTATTCCCCCAATAAATCTAAATAAATATTATCTTATAATCATCTACTTTTTAAAAAACAATTTAACACAATATTATTCTTTAATTATAGTCTCATTATCAGATTTTAGTTAATGGGATTTTTTTTATAATAATTAATTTTATTGAATAAATAAGAAAAAATTAAATAAAAATTATAATTTTAAAGACCAAAGTTTGCGGAATTTAAATAGACTAATCATATCGAACATTTTGTCTTAAAATCATACAAAATAAAATATAATCACTAAATAATAAAAAATTATATAAAAAATCAGTCAAACAACTAAAAGTAGATAAATAAAAGTTACCAAGATCGCTCAATTTAACGATAAAAGATAAATATCATAAATACTAACATAGTAATAAAATATAATAGTATGTTAATTAATTTCATCACAACTCAAACATATATATATTTTAGATGATTGGAAGCATATTAATATTAAAAATAATAATAAATTCGATCTTTAAATAAAAAATATTATACTAATAGATAAAAATATTTAACTCATACAAAAATCAGATTTTATTACTAAAGTAAAAAAATATATATAACAAAAAATCCATCAAAGGTTATAACCAAACTAGACAAAAGAAATTAAACTCACTCATGTTGTCATGTTTTTTTGGTTCAAGATAGTTTTAGTTGGTAATGAAATGGTTAAGTAGCAGTCAAACTTTGGGTTAGAAAACAAAAAACTAAAGTCACACGAGTTTTTCGTCCTCAATTGTGTTTTTTCTTTTGGCAAAACAATCAGAGGTCCTATACTTTTTTAAAAAATAAAAAAATTAATATAATTCTCGTATTATTTTTTCTTTTGGTGTGACCCTCCAACTCACAAAATAACTCAATCTTTTACTAGTGTTTTTCGTCATTGACCGTTACTAAAATTACATGATATTTCACAGTGCTAATGTAGTGGTCCACAGTGTTGATGTGGTAGTCAATGATGGCTGATGACGTGATGGAGGATATGACAAATGGACTAAATTGATTTTTTTTTTGCTTTGTTTGAGGGTCAAATTGATTATTTTTTAAAGTTCAAGTATTTGTTTAATTTTTTAAAAAATAAAAAATTATTTTAAATTATAAATATAAAATTATTCAAAAAAAATAAATATAAACCTACTAAAAATAAAAATTAAATTATTAAAAACGTGAATATATATTAAAAAATACTAAAATTGTTATAAAAATTTCAAAAAAAATTAAATATATATAATAGGTTATAAAATAATTACTTATAAATTATTTTAAAAAAATTAAAAAATATTATATTTAACATATACATGTAATATATATGCATACCATCAACACTTATACAAATTATTCTTACTGGATTAATCGAGAAATATAAAATTTAAATTAGTCGAGACTTATAATATTTAGATTAGTAAAAACTCATTATGTTTTATAATTATCTTTTTGTAAATCTCACTAATTTAAAAGATAATTATATAATAAGTTTTAATATAAAATATAATTAAAAAACATAGTAAGTTTCGATTAATAAAAAATTTGCGAGTCGACTAATTTAAAATTTATAAGTCTTGATTAATCCAATAAGAATGTTTTGTATAAGTGTTGATGATATGTCTATATATTATATTTATGTATTATGTATAATGTGACTTTTTACAATGTTTTTTTAATTTTTTAATAATTTTTAAGTTATCATTTTATAACCTATGATACATAATCAAAAACTTTTATTTTTTATAATAGTTTTAGTATTTTTAATATGTATATTTAATTTTTTTAGTAATTTAATTTATATTTTTTATATTTTTATATTTAATTTTTTTGAATAGTTGAATAGTTTTATATTTAAAACTTAAAATAATTTTTATTTTTAAAAAAATAAATAAGTCCTTGAATAATTTGACCCTCGAACAAAAACAAAAAAAATCAATTTAGTCTATCTGTCATATTATAAGCTACCGTAGATTGTCACATCAACATCATGGATTAGCACGTCAGCACCATAAAGGTCAACGATAAAAAACGTTGGTCAAAGAGTCACATTAAATTTATTTTTTGAGTTAGAATGTCATATTAAGAGAAAAAAATAATATGATGACCAAATTAATTATTTTAAAGTACATGAGTTTCTCATGCCTTTTTGTCTTTTCTTTTTTAAATCAAATTAATGGTGTTTTAAGCAATCGTATCCTGTTTTTCCTCTTTCTTTAGTTAAAATAAAATTGCATTGTTTTCGGTGGTTAAACGACTTTTAAGTTCTAACTAATAAAAAAAGGCCTTAACAATTACTTGTCAAATTATCCTACGCTTTAAAACCAATTATTCTGATGGCTTCTCTCTTTTCACAAGAAACTGGAAAAATATAATTATACGATTATACAAAAATATATTATTGTTGTAATTTTTTACGCAACTTGTCAAATAGATACTCTTTAATCTACGTTAAGGTGTTTGGGTGATATTGGGAATCTTCTTCCATCAGATGATGTTAAGGTAACAAATAAATAATTTTCCTCTGCCGTATGTGGGTCATAATCTATGTTTAGCTTGCTTGGGGTGTTCGTGGGTTCAAATGGGTCCTTGTGGGTTTTGATTAAGGATGGGCATGGGACTCGAACCCGACGGATTCCGATTTAACTCGATCGGGTCGGATTTTTTTTTAAAAAATACGGATTTGGTCGGGTTCAGGTTTAGGGTGAAAAATACCCGATCTAAAAAAATATATAATTTTACCTTAAATATTTATGAATAATTACAATAATACCCCACTATATATTATTTTTTTCAATTAAGTCATTGTTTTTATTGAATAAAAATATTTTTTATTTCGGGTCGGATCGAGTTTTTAAGTTATATATCGGGTCATGTTTGGGCCGGGTCGGGTCGGGTCGGGTCTCGGGTGGAAGACTCCTTGTTCTCGGGTCGGGTCAGGTGGACTAAAAACCCAACCCATGCCCATCCCTAGTTTTGATGAAAGCATGTATTTTGTGTGTTTCTATTGTGTTAAAATGACCCATTATGATGCTAATAACCTTCATAAGACTTAACAATGTTTCGTAGCCTTAGAGGGGCTTGTGAGGGGTTTTTGGAAATCACTTTCGTGCCTAAATAAGACATTTTTTAGCAGAGGTATTGGTACTGGAAGAACAATACTAATGCTTCCCTTCGTATAGCCTTAAGAAAAGTGGATTTTAGGCTAGCATTATCAATGTTCATTCATTGGTAACGATACTCCAGTGGGGGTTTCGATACTTGTAGGGTAATATCGAAACCGAGGGCGTATTACAGATTTCAATAGTCATTTTTGGTATAGTTACTCATATGAGTATCGGTACCAAGGGTAGAGTATAGATACTCCCATTAGGAGTATCGATACTAGGAAGTATTTTTAAACATCGAAGCTATTTTTGGTATCAATACTCGGGGTAGTACTGATACCCCAAGGGAGAGTATCGATACTCTCACACAAGTATCGATACTGAGGAATTTTCCAAAACATTGAAGTTGATTTTGGTATCGGTACTCCGGGCAATATCAATATCACAAAGCCAGTACTAATACTGTCAGGTCCAATATCGGTACCGTCGTCCTAGTTTGGGCAGAAAACCCTACTACTTTTGTGAACTTGGAAAGGGGGTTATGAGGGCATCAAGACCTCTTTAATAAGACTACAAGTAAGAATGTCATTCAAAATTATTGAAAACAAGAACATCCATTAATGTGACATAAGACTAGCATTTTTTTGTTGCTCAGGAAACATTAAGGACACCCAAGTTACTTGAGTGTATGCATGGGAGATTTGAGATAAAGAATTGAAATATCCGAATTTTCTCCCTCAATTCTAAGGCACTTAGGGATGGGCACGGGGAGAGACGGGTTGGGTTTTTGGTTGCCCCGATCCCGACTCGAGGAATTTTGATTTTTTCCACTTCGAACCCGCCTCAATTTTTAGACTAAAACACCAACCCGAATATATTAATATTTTAAAAATAATTAAAATAAAATATTTTAGAATAATATATTTATAATTATTTATTATATTTAAATTGTTAAATAATATATTTTATAATATATTTATATTTAAACTGTTAAATAATATTTTTTATAATATTTTTTATATTTTTAATAATTAAATAATATATTTTAATAATATAAAAATAAAAACTCCTAAAATATTAATTATAATATATATATCTATAAAATAACCGAGTCAGGTCGTTGATTTTTCACCTTAAACCCTGCCTCGCTCCGCCTCAAAATTTTTCACTATATAACTCGCCCTGAGCCCCAAAAATTAAAAAAAATGCTCTATCTAGTGGGGTTTCGTTGGGTTCGTGTATTTTTACCATCCCTAAAGGCACTTTAGTATCAGTGCATATGCACTTCTGTATCAGTGCTGAGGCACTTTAGTATTAGTGCTAAGGCACTTTTGTGATTTAATGGCAAGCCCATATATGTTTTCATATGAGACGTTGATGTACAATATTATACTTGATGCATTTAGTTGTAGCATGACTAAACTTGTTAAGCATTCATAGCTAATGAATGCATGTAGTATAACAGAGTTGTTTATTTGACACTGAGCTTGTAGATCGGGTTGGGACCCATCGAATTCAGGTATTTTGACCATCCCTAAAGGCAATTTAGTAATAGTGCATGTGCACTTTTCTATCAGTGTTGAGGCACTTTTGTGATTTAATGGCAAGCCCATAATATG